ACTGTAATATTGGGTTTTTTCAGGAATCTCCTGAAAGAAGAGAGTGAAACTAAGGTGAAGTTAGACAAGTGTATATTCATTTTGGTCTATCTAAGGACAACCTTCTTTAGGCTTTTGGATTTTTTCTGTTTGATCACAGATGTGGCTTAATTCAAAGCATAGATTACTCTTGTAAAGGTTGTGGCTACATGGCTTGTGCTGTCCATACCACACTTAATAAGATGAGTCATCTTCCTGCACAGTGGGCAGTTTGATTTGTATAATTACTTGGATATTGTGTGGAGTCTCCAGAAAGATCCTTAAACTCCTGACAAGGATAAGGAATTAGAGTAAATGTACTGACCAATGGAGCAGGTGATTCAGTATCTTCAAATGTGGTTTTTGGCTGGTGGTTTTTTGTTTGGTTGGTTTTAACAATAGCATCCTTTCAAACATATTCTGGGTTGTGCTGCTGGCCTCTCTCCAAGCATGGAGCTCAGCTAGAGTGAGAAAACTAAAACATGGTGTTGATGAAAATTAATAGAGAGGGTTTTTGTCTGATTGGTGATACTGGTTGAGAGCTGGTTTTAGGTCATTATTAATGTAGATGGGTTGCTTATGTTTTTTCCTAGTTCTGTCAAATTCATTATGTCTGGCTTTAAACGATACTGGTGATAAAGTGTGCACAGCCTGGGAAAAGTGACTTTAATAGAAGTAAGTAGATATGCTTCAAAATTGTTCAGAGGCTATTCTTCATTATATCATAATAGAGTAAATGTGACATTTCCACTACAGGGAGGCAGGAACACCTTAACATAGACATTTAGAGATGCTACTAGAGATGACTCAGTGTATTTCAGACATCCCCTGGAGCTGTCAGATATGATGCAGTGTATGGGATATCAAGGCCCATCTGCAGTGGTGGCTGAAGGCCAGGCTGCCTGTGCTGGGCAAGGAATTGACTCAATATTTTTAGAGAAGTATTTTATTTTGTGGTGAAGTGTGCTGTGTGGAATATTCTATTGTGTTACCATTACTGTATTTCTTGAATTTGTCATTGAGACCTGTCTTCCCTAGCTCTGTAAGGGTATTGCTGCGTAAATGCCTACTATAATTACTAGCTCTTGATGTTCAAAGTACAATGGTAATAGGTTAAAGTTGATACCCCTTGTGAACTATGTCTAACAACTTTCAGTCTAATCCAGATTTTGATGTAGAGGAAGCCAGTCTGGGAACTGGGCTAGGGACTCCTTCCCCATTACTGGTGGCATTTCTATTCCCAGGTTAAGCATGCACATCATCACCAGATCAGTGCTGCTTATTGTGTATCTGAGCCAAGTGCTATCACTGTGACATGTTTTTCCTATTACTTTTGAAATACTTTGTGTCATTCAGCCCTATGTAAAGTACTTAGTTATCAATAATTCCTGTGACTAATGTCATGCTCATGCCCTATTGCCCAAAATATGGCAGCTGCAGAGTGTACAGAGCTGCGTGCTGTAATGAGGAAAGAGAATTGGAGAACTGTAATCAGTTGTTACAATAGGAAGGTATGTTAAGATTATTCCCTTTGTTTGAGTAGCATGGGCAACTGGCATTTCGATCACTTTGAATAAGACTTCGTGACTGTTATCTCCCAGATGAAGAAGGGCTGAAATGCATTATGATAAAATGTCATACCCTAAGGATGGAAAGAACCTGAATGTATACAGAAATGCCCTTACGGATCAAGGAGAGAGCAAATTATAAGAACATGTTGCTTATGTATACTGGTTGTTAAAAACTGCACATTTCTTTTCCTATAACCTTTTGTGCTTGAGCCCCTAAGTGCTATGGAATTAGGAATTTTATTCTGAAGAGATAACATTGTTGAGTGCATTTCGGGTCACACAAAACCTAGGGGCAGAAAGCAGTAATCTGGGGCAGGCATAGTTCATGCAGCAGTCAAATTCTGCTTTCTCATGCTGTGCCAATTACCTCTGTTTTACTACTAATGCATTTCAGTTCTGCTTAGGAATAGCACTACCTTTTTTAACACCATACTTCTGGTCTACAGGTAAATATAATTGAGTTCACCATGTTCATGTTCCACATCACCTTTAATTGGAACATGAGCCCCTCTCCAAAGGCATATCTAATGATGTTCTTTAGCTGGCTGCATAAACTTGCTTCCCAAAAGAAATCTAACTGGAATTTAGTCACTACATACACTAACAACTAACAGGTTTAAAATTCTTCTGAATAACTCATGTGTGCAAGAGTTAAAATGCAGCATCTTGCCCTGTACAAGCCAGGTCCATCACCAGCAGTGAGGTGAGCTGAAAGGGGAATTCTGAGCTTATCCTAAGGGTTACATAGACTAGCTTTCATCAGGAGCATGGCCAACTGTTTTTCTTTTGCTGAGAAAACATGAGGGAAGTGTGAATTGAAACTACAAGTAAAAACAAGTTTTAAAAGCATATGGGGAGACAGTTCAAGATGCTTGTAGCTTCCAGTAAGTTGCTAAGACACAATTTTAAACTTGCCAGGCTGGTAACATCGCTTGAATGTGAAAATATGCAATGCCAGAGATGTGTGCCAGAGCAAATTAACTGGTCTAGCAAATGCTTACATAGCTGGTGAGGGGTAAAAATGTGTAGGATGAAATAGGGAATCGTATACTGGCTCTTTGCTCCCTTGGACAGAAGTATGCTTCAGACAGGGGAAGTTCAGGTTAGATATCAGGAAGAAATTCTTTACTGTGAGGGTGCTGAGGCACTGGAATGGGTTGCCCAGGGAAGCTGTGAATGCTCCATCTCTGGCAGTGTTCAAGGCCAGGTTGGACAGAGCCCTGGGCGACATGGTTTCGAGTGAGGTGTCCCTGCCCATGGCAGGTGTTTGGAACATGATGTTCTTAAGGTCCTGTCCAACTCTAACTGTTCTATGAGTCTGTGACCCTGAGCAGCCTGCCTTTAGCAAAGCTTTGGAGAAGGACAAACCTGCCCAAGGGTGTGCACTGATACAGCTTATCATATTTTTATTACTTGTTTACTACAAATAAAAATATTGGAGCAGCTGAAATGCTCCAACATTTAGAGGTTTCATTATTTTCAGATCAGAAGTGCAGTGTGTCTGACCCTAATTGCACAATTTAAATCCTAATAATCATTTAGCTGGGTGAGTCTTCTGTGTTATGGATAATATCCTTGGTTTAGAAAATATACATAATGGGTCTATATTAATCATCTGTGTAATTTGCTGAAGCTGAGACAAATAGAATAAAAGATCCCCTGGGTAAAGAGGTTTTGCTTCTGAAAAGGGAAATTTTTCCTGAAACCCTGTCACCTCTGGGTAGGCTGCTTACCTTTTACCATCCCTATATTCCTGGCTTTCACTGCGCTGCAGAGCATAAATAAGCCCATTGGCCAGTTTTCTCCAATGGTTTATCCCCATATTTCTCTGTTTCTTTTTTTTGTGTTGGTTGTTATTAATTGCTGTGCTCACCAAGTGTAAGCTTGCCTGCTAATGATTGAAATTCTGGACTGAGCAGTGCCAATTAGACTGATTTGTTTAAGAGGGTTAATTCATCTGAAATGCTTTGCTTTGGAACAGTCTATCTTCCCTGTGCTGTAACTTCCAACTATTAACTACCTACAAAGCAGAGATTTAAAGGGAATCAGTCTCTTTGCTTTGCAGTTATAACGAGATAACCTTCTCAAATGGTGCTTCCTTTAGTTATCTAACTTAATATTGTAACAGGAGTTTGGTTGAAATATAAGGAAAAAAAAGAATCATAGAATCACAGAATGGTTTGGGTTGAAAAGGACCAAAGGATCATCCAGTTTCAAGCCCCTGGTATGGGCAGGGACACCTCACACTAGACCAGGTTGTCCAAGTCTCTATCCCACCTGACCTCGAACACTGCCAGGGATGGAGCATTTACAAATTCCTTGGGCAGCCTGTTCCAGTGTCTCACCAAAATACAAATAACATATGAATTACAAGGCCACAGTTCACCTCAGATGATTATATGAGTGAGTTGCCCAGTCTACATCGTACTGTAGCTGAGTTAAAATAAAGGTAACCTGGGATTCCACGCCAGCAGCTGCCTTTCTCCCATCCTTAACCCTACCCTCAGAGTTTGGGCTCATGGGATGTTCCAGCTTTCCTAGTACTAAAACACTGAAATGATGGGAAGAAATCTCCCAGAGTAAAGATGATGGTAAAGTGAAAGTAGGTCAGCCTTTCTATAAAGGCAGTCAGTAGAAGGATATGGAGAACTGAGTAGGCAGCAAGGATCTACATACACATATGAAATTCTAGTGATGGCACAAACTGGTAACTTGCAGCCAATCTGACTGGAAATCTGCAGATAGCAGGGGAAATACCCACCTCCAGGGTGTCATTGGTAACAGCTCCCTCCAAGTCCTACTCTGCAATTGTCTTCAAGCTGCTGTTTAGTAGGACATTGCAGTGGTAAAAGCAGACATGTTGCTGACATGACTGGAGCTGTTGCTGTATTGGTGCCACGTTTGAGCAAGCACAGAAAAGAAGGAATATAAGCAGCTGATGTTTTCCTTTAAAAAAGCTTTTCTGTCCAAATTAAGAAAGATCTTTGCCAGGTCTGTCTGGATCATTCCAGATAGAGTAAAAATGCTTTTAAATAACCCTGCACCCTAGAACAATAGAGAACACAACCCAGACTGCTGGGATTTCAGCATCCCCTGACCAGCTGGGTACTGTGCAGCTGTCAGGGCTCTGTAACTTTCCTGTATTGCTAACTGCCTATAATTAAAAGGAAGAAATATTAGCAGACAAGACTTTTATTGTGGTTTTGAGTTGTTGTTAACTCTTACCAGTGTGCCATTTCTCTTTCAGTTGCTATCAATAAACGAATGAGTTTGACATGAGACATCTGTACTGGCGGCAGCAGCTCTTTGCCAGCCTAAAGCCTTATTGCGCTTTCACTGGGCTCTTGAGACTAAACAGTGTCTGAAGCCCTTGTAATGCTTCCTTTCTTTTCTTCCTCACTTTTACCACAGGTAGGGGAGTTCAGAGCCCACGCTGCAGAGTGGACAGCCAACGTCACTGCAGAGTTCAAAGAAACTCGAAGACGCCTGAGCGTGGAGATCTACGACAAGTTCCAGCGGGCTACCTCTATCAAGAGGAAGCTCTCTGCAGAACTCGCCGTCAACCACAACCAAGACCTGACTCCCTGCAAGAGAACCCTGTCAGTCAACCACCTCACCAGTGAGAAAGACATCTTGCCAGCTCTAACAAAGACAGACAACATTTACATGAATGGTTTGACGCCGCACTGTGCAGCAGAAGAAATAGCTGTAATTGAAAACATTAAGTAGCCATGACTTTGGATCCCAGCCCTTGAGGAGCTCTTGGCTGAGACTAGCCATATACCTTTTTTTTCCCCACTCTGTCAATGATCAATGCTAATAGCATTTTATATGTGTGCATGAGTTTCACAGAAACTGCAGTCCAGAGTTACCATCACATCTCTTCAAAGACAAAAAGAATGGCACTTCTGTTATCGAAAGATGCTGGATCAAACAACATCTTCTGCCTTTATCTGCCCAGACTGTTTATCACGTCTCTTAATGTGCCATACGGCCTCAAGAATGAATCACATTTGCTTATGGTAACAATGTAGCTTTGAGGGATCAGTCCTTAAAATTTCAGGGTCTACCTTACTGAGCCTAGGAATGGACCATTTCTGGACTACAACACATTTGTAAATGGCAAGAAATGCTTATGCAGCCTTTTACCTAAGAAATTTTTGTCAGTGCCTTATCTTTTGAAGAACCAGAACCTCTACAGTTCCTGTATGGTTTTTGTTTGTTAGGTTTTTTCATGAGAAACGTCTTTCATTTGAGCTTTCATTCCTCTTGAAATGATGGTGTTATAAAAGGTGTCTGCTGTAAAGATACCAACCAGCATGAACGAATGCCAAAACTCAACAATCATCAAATGATGATCTTAGCTCTAAATTTAAAGGCACTGCAGTTTCAGAAATTGAAAACATGCCCCCCAGAAGCATTTTATTTTACTCAGGTCCAGCTGATACTTGTTCACACTGACTTGTAGAATTTGCAGGCCTTCTTTGGGTCTGGTCTATTTCAAGCAGTGTTCAGCAGTTGTCTTTGCGTCAGGTGTACCAAAAACCCCTGCATCTTATCTGTCATCTGATTACTTGGTAGATGACTCCAGTAAATGAAAATTACTACTTAGAGGAGAGGCTATTTAATTGCTGTATTCTAATAACCACATCCAGAAAACAATGCAGAAAAATACCATGATATTTCTGATAGGCATAAACCTATCTGCCAGATATTTGCTCCTTGAAAAGGATTCTTAACTTCAAGTCAAGTCACACCAGATGCCATATGATATTTTACCAAGGAATCCTGCTGGAAGTGCTTTCCTGAATGTCGCACTGTACAGTGGCTGCCTGTGATGGAGCTGTGACTGACGTGGTATCACTGTGACTTTCTACGTTTCAAATAGAGATGGCTCTGAATAGAAGTGCAGGCATGAGAAAAAGAGCTGATAAATAGCACAATCTGAATACTGATGATTGTTCAGACAGGATAGGCTGACAAGAACCAGATCTAAACCAGACTATGGGGGTTTTTATTGGTTTTAAGAGAACACTTTAATTTTGTATCTTCTGTTTTGCTTATAGGTGTACATGAGATTCAGAAGAAATGCAGGATGGAATGGATAATTTTGCATATTTTTTTTCTTATGTTAATCTGTTGTAACCTGGCTGTACATAAAATGAATAGAACAGGCCTTAAGAGAACAGTTAAGGTTCTGTGTAAATTAAAGAATGGGACTTTGCTGATTGGGCATGATTCAAGTGGCAAATATTACAGCATCTCTGACCATTAGATAACATGCAAGATATGAATGTTAATGTTTTTTGGATGCTTAGCTTGTTTTCTAATAAAATATAAGTTAATATGTAAATTCAGTCCATTAAGTGTAAATATCAGTCAATTAACATTTACAAAGAGTACGCTTTTAAAACAAAGGAGATTCCATGACACAGCTTATAACAAAGATCCTTGTCTCCCCAGCACAGTGTTCTGAATGTCCACATGGCAAGGGTTTGTTTTGCCATGTATAAACTGTGAATTGTAATGAAAAATAAAGTTTTTCATTAAAATAAGCTTTTCCGAATCTCCTGCTTGCTACAACTGGAATGCTAAGAAATGATTTGTGAAACTGAATTTTGTGCTTTCGTTGGTTACACAGTATAGTAGTTTTCCACCTGCTTTAATTTAAGCTGGTTTAGCAATAAAGTCTTGACACACCCAGCACAAATTATTCTTTTTCTTGATATTAAAAACAATGCTTTTTGGTTGCTCTACCTGAAGTTGTGTTTCTTGCTGTTTTGTCTCAAAAGCTTGGCAGGCTGCAGTTTCTCCTGTTGTGCTACAGAGCTGATGACACTTGTTCCTTCTTTGCACTGAGGGAGATTCGGGGAGCTCTGACCTCCTGTCCTTCCAGTTGTCCTGGGGCTGCTTCTGTGCAAGTATGTGAATAAGCAGCTATAAAGGCAAAGCCTTTGATGGCAGAGCAGTGAATATTTTATGATGGCTTCTTTAATTGTGTCTGTGTGGTGGTAAGAGGACTGATTTCTTACATTGCTCCAAATATGTCAGTGCCTTTTGGATCTGACTTTCAGAAACGGACTGGTAATGCTTAAGGTTTATTGTCTTTGACACTCAGAGATGGGATACTTAGGTTAAATACTCAGTTTGTTCTAGCCAGTTTGTTTCCAGTTACAAATCTATAGGAGTGAGTGTCTATGTGGTTTCTTCAAAGAAGCTTTGGGGCATCTCAGGACCTCCTAGAGATGGGTATGTTGGTTTGAGATCCTGTGACAGTGTTTGAGATATTAGCATGGACATTTGTGAAATCCATTCACTTATTTACCTTAACTTTGTATATGATCTTTGGGAAAAGAAGCCCTGTTACTCTGGTTTTCCACATTTGTAACATATGTCAATTAATCCTACTTTATCAAACTAGATTTGCCTGTTTGGAGCAAAGCATTAACAAATGAAATCCTTTATTTGTAAGTTTAATAAGTGAAGACTAAGGAAAAAAATGGTACCGTCCAGATGGGGTAAGTAAAAGGAGTTATCATGATCCAACTGTGGCTAGTACCATTACACTAGTGGAAAATCTTTCCCTCTTCACTTACACTGATATCACAATTGGTGACATGAATTTATAAATCTTGATGAACTCTATAAAACTCTATAAAAGATCTTGCTCCTGTATAAGCAGGCTTTTATATTAAAACCGTGTCTTTCTTGCCTCTGGAGATTTTGTGTAGCTCATTTACCCCTTCCCAATATGGAGCTACAAACTCATGAATTACAACTCAATGAAAATCCATTTGTAACCTCCTTTCTCTCAAATAGATATGGGGACATCTCCAGACTGTCAGGCTACTTGCTACTTAAGCAGGTTTATGAAAATGGCATTTCATTTTGGTAGAGGTTTCATAGAATCATAGGATCATAGAATAGTTAGGGTTGGAAAGGACCTTAAGATCATCAAGTTCTAACCCCCCTGCCATGGGCAGGGACACCTCACTCTAAACCATATCACCCAAGGCCTTGTCCAACCTGGACTTGAACACTGCCAGGGATGGAGCACTGCCAATCAAGCACCATTTCAAAAGACACTGGCAAAACATGAGGCACAAGTTGTAGCACATAAGACACTGTAAAGGCACGTTTGCCACTTGACAAAACAATTTAGTACTCGGTGTTAAAGGAAACATTGCAGTAATAAAATATGTTAGAGAAGTAATTAGAGAGAATCTGTATTGTTTAATGTTGCCTATTATAATCGTGTCTTTTCTTGAAGTTTCTGTTATATCTGGCAAAGTGTCTATTCGTCAAGTCTTTGATTATTTTTTATTTTTATAGCACTGCATGGGAGGTAAGGACAGAATCTGGGAGTTGCGAAGGCTTTGTTCCGTGCCCCGTTCTTCATTGAGTACCAGGCCAAACGCTGACTGTGGCATCCTCAGTTCTGTAGGTCCTCTTTTCTGATGTTCAGGTGCTGCTGTTTGAGCTGCAAACAACCTGGAAGGAACAATCCCAGAAGTTCATCAACATCCTTAGCCATGCCTTCCTCTCTTCACTTCTTCTTGAAAACTGGAGCAAAGCTGGAAGGTAACACAGGAACCCACAGAAGGGACCACCCTTGAACAGGAATGGACTTTCCTTAGGTCACCAAGTAAGCTGTAAGACCAGGGTGGCAGATGAAATCAAATCTTATCTGTATATTTGTTTGGAGCTCTTGCTACTCATGCATTATTTCTACTCCAATGACTTCTAACTAGGAATACAACACACTCTGTGGAAGAAGAAATGCAAGGCTGCTTTACTTCTCTTCAACTCTACATGCACATCACAAGTTTACGTATGTATATAGCTATATTTCCTGGGAAGGAAATTTTCCTGTCAGAGGAACTACATATAGTGTCAGAATACAGCAGTAATGTTTCTACTAAATTGCTGTGATATAGTTATGTGGTAATTAACTTTTCTTTCCTACCTTGCAGTGCTTATTGGAAATTTTATATATTTTACAGGAATTTGTCAGAGTTAAAGTAATTATTTTGTCATAAAACATGAATAAGACCTTTTCTGTATGTGTGTCGCCCTGCAGATTCAAATGAACGACGGGGAGAAATAGAGAAGATGCTGATTTTACTATTAGAGATAAAACACTGTTGAGCCACACATGTTAAAAAAGCTAGCTCTTTCATTTGAGCAACTATTCTCTGCTTTGCCAAATTATTGTTAGAATTGTAAAAAGCCTATGTGAAAATCAATTTGAATAGGTATAGTATACTTGGAAAACTGGAACATATATGCCATTGCTTATCACGCTTTCACGAACTTCCAGAGGATTATGCTGAATAAGCTTGTAAACAGGTACGTTATTTATGGTAGAACAATATCATTTTACCCTTTGTACATTCCAGCCGATACAGTAGCTTATACAGCTTTTTATTCTGGACCCAGATATGGTCTTTCACAGTAAGTGTATTTTACTCTTGTTTGGCCACAAAGACTGATTTTGTTGGATTTCTAGAAATATGAATTTATTGGTTAAAAATTATCTCGTGGGAACATAAGAAAATACATTGGTATAGGTCCTGTTTTGTGTGAATTTTGCATTTTTTTCCCAAATTTTTCAGAATTCATGTCCTCAAGCACGCTCAAATAGATTGATAGAAAGTTTTCCTGAAGTTTTTTCCAAGAGCATGGTTTTGCCCAAAGTTTCTCTGTATTTCCTGATACACACAGAAGTTTTGGACAGTTGAGTGGTGAACCCAACATGTTATATGAGTATTGAAATTAATAGTCTGAAAGGGGCATTTATAGTGCATCCCTGAAACGGACAACCCCTTCAAGTCCACTAGGTCTGGTGTTGACCATGATAAAGGAAGGTTCTACTTTGACTAATATAGCCAAACCTTGTAATATAATCCCTGTAATGTATAGAGCACTTAAAATAATTTCTCATATTTGCTTGTTCTGTTGTAGAAGAATGGGAATTTTAGAGATTTAAAGGCACTGTCTTGCACAACTTGGACAGAGTTAATAGCCCAAGAGTTGCAGTCAAGGCCCTTCTGAACTACAGAGTGAAAAGCCACACAGTCTGAATGCTTTTTTAATGGAGAAAAACTTAATGGTTTGCAGCGAAAAGGAGGATGAAAGTTGGCTCCACTGTGAAAAGTGAAAGTGGGAGTAACATGTCATGTACTATTGTGTGCTTTGTAAAGTGGGGATGGAACAGGCACAAAGGCTTTTTCATTTCTCGGTGTCCTTAGGGAGAGTCAGAGTATCCTGCATTGTATCAGTGTATTCTTGCTCTTTTGCAATGCTTTTGCAAGCTATTAAGTGTATTATACCTTTCTTGGGTGCTGGTTGGCATTATGATGGGATAGCTTGAAAGGGAAGACACCTTTTCTCTCGCTCATACTGCACAGGTGGAGTAAGTAGAGCTGGCTTTGGCCTTTGTAGAACAGGAGCAGCATTTAGGGAGTTCCACAGCCAAGTGCTAAATGGTATTAATTTTCTTCCAATATGAAGCCCTTAAAATACTGTTTCATATAGAGAAAGAGTTTGGGAAAAATGGATTCCTGTTTTCTCTCTCAAGACCAGAACAGAGGCTGCAGTTTTGTTTTGTCATTGTAGCTGCATGTCGCTTTTGAGCTTGGCTTGTCTTTTAACAAGTGAGACTGCAGCACAAAATTAGCATTAGAAGTGGCTCCTGTGACTTGGAGAACGTTAAACATCTGGGACTGTTTGGAGAACTCGGTAGGATTAGGTGGAGGTTTTTTGACTAAGTATCATGATGCTTTGCAGAGAAGTGTTTTGGGATCCATGGTGATGAGCCGTATCACTTTTCTTTTGGCTTGTTTTTCCTGATCAAAGCATCTTAGCAGAATGTCTTTGATGTTTCCCCAGCTATAGCTGTATCCTAAGCAGTTTAACAGAGTAAAAAGAAAAACACATTTTTCCAAACAAGAGGACTTTTCACTTCAGTGACTAAACACTGCACAGAGGCAAAGATTTTGTTGTTTTGATTCCATGTGCAGCCTTCAAGGAACGGAGCACTTAACCAAGACTGTTTTTTCATTATTCCTGTTGGTTTTTCTTTTAGATGTTCCTGTTCAGAACCCCTCAGAGCCTCCCCTTGCACTGACCGCAGAAAGCCTGCTTATTCCAACCCAATCGAGACTTCAGCGTGAAGCCCATTGTGAGCAAAAGGAAAATCAGGGCAAGTGTGTTTGTATTGTGTGTTGTTAATAACAGCAATAGCTTTTGGCTTTTGTGAAGCACTTGTCAGGCAAGGAATGCAAGGTGCTTTGAAAGCAGGCATTAATTAAGGTTGACAACCTCCACCCTCTTCCGTTGTCATGAAGTTAGGAGTGAAGGACATCGATGATTGCTTTTTAATCTCCCTTCCCAAATTGTGGCCTGACCCTCCAAGAGCAATGTGTAGTGGCTACTTGGTTACTTACGTGTTTGTGTAGGCACTAAGAACATGATGCTGTGGTCTTTGATAGAGTACTAGGATGAAGTTATCTGTAGACTTCCATTAACTGAAATGGGTTTTGAATTGGACTGATCTGAGAACTTGTCTGATTCCTGCGCAGAGATCCAGATGCTTTTATGTAGACCTAAGTCTTCCCTTGAACTGGCTTTTGAGTAGGACCTAGAGAAACTTTGATGCATGAACAATAGAGAGGAAATACACACCTGTTTACAATAATGGAAGCTTTTAAGGTGTGATGTCATTTATTGAGGTGGTATCAATTTTGTATGCTTCCAGGTT